GTGGTCATGGGCTCCTTAATCTCCGGCAACTACACCAGAACGTCCCTCAGAACCCCGTTGCAACTATCAAGGCCCCCATTGCATGGAAGCCCCCAAAACACACGGTTTAGGGTTTAGGGTTTTCAAAAATTCTCTGACCCGAAACCTGGCTCCACCGCAGGGCTTGGGTGCCTGTTCCAGTATGGAGGACACAGGCCAATGAAAGTCCACCTTAGTCTTCGGACGATGGCTGAGGGTTCAGGATTTACCTTAGGGTTTAGGGTTTAGGGTTTTGCTGGAATGGGAAGGTTCTTGTGAAGCTTCTTTCCCGTCTGATCATGTCTCTCTGCAGCCTCAGCAGTAATGGTTCTTGGTGACATCCCACACTCAGTCAGGCATTGCACACTTCGCTGTGATCCTGCCGTTGCGCGTCCCCATGTTTGTTACTCAAAACCTGCGAAGTAAGGTCATGGGTTCAGGGTTGGATCCCTTTTTGGGGCTTTAGAGTTTAGGGTTTAGGGTTTGCAGAAGATTTGCAGCCAACGGTGCCCAACTGCTGCTGCTGCTACTGTCGCCAGTGCCCAGGTCACCTTGGCGCAATTTGTCCCTCCCTCCGTTTCACTAGTGATACAGGGGGCTGACTAGTTGAAACAGGGCTTGGGGGCATGTTTCAGTATTTCTAGGTTTCAGAACCTTGAGGAATAGTACCGGTAGTTGTTCAGGCTTCTACGTTACACTGAGCTACTACACGTGCGTGGCCTCACCACTAATCATGGCCATAAAGCAAAGTGTCAGGACGAACAAATGTCTCTGATGTTGAAGTGCCCCATGTAGGCCTCGATTGCCGTCTTGCACGACTGCACGACAAGGCTCCTTCAGGTTAAAACTAGGAAGTCGCCCACATCAACCACAGCTGTCAGACCAAACTACTCGGCTTGTGACCGGTCTTCTACCAGACTGGTGGTGGTGGTGGTGGTGGTGGTGGTGGTGGTGGTGGTGGTGGTGGTGGTGGTGGTGGTGCCAGTGCTTGCAGTAGGGATCAGAATAGTGCCTTCCCATTGCTCCTGCGGCTTGCAGCTTCGCGCTGAAGCAAAAACACAACTTTTCCTCGAGTGCAGTGTCTACGGAGAGTCTACGGTTTGAGGCGTGGGCCTGAATCAGTTCCTGCCCCTGAAAGACGGACCCAGAAACTCAAAGCGCCCAAAGCCCGAAGAGTGGTAGTGCACAGCTTTTTCCCTTCCCCTAAAACGCATAAGCCCTGAACCCTCTAAACCCCCTAAACCCCTAAACCCTCTAAACCCCCTAAACCCTTAAACCCCCCAAACTCCAAGACCTAAACCCCCTAAACCTCCTAAACCCCCTAAACCCTAAACCCCAACACCGGCAACCCCTATCCTGCGGGGCTGCTTTTCAAGGACACCAGGGTCGAAGAATGGACTGGCAGCTAGGGTGCTAGCATTGGCTTTAGGGTTTTGGGGTTTTGGG